GTTGATAAGACGTTAGAACAACGTTAAAACAACGTATATTATTTGAAAGTCTCTTTTTTTTAAGAGCTTTATCTGTATTTTTAAGTTCTAACTGTAATTTATGTTGTAAGTGGATTCTGTTTATTCTGTAATATGTTTGTAACTGGTGTTTGTAACTGTAATATGTTTGTAATATGTTTGTATTGGTGTCAGGTCAGGAGTATGGTCTTCATGATCATCCTGCTACTGGTAACATGTAACCCAGTGCAACCAGTTCCATGTTCTGCTGCCTTGCAGGATTTGCTATCTAAGCAAAGGCTGGAAGGAGTGTTCTTCCTGTCATCAGTACTATCTTATATCAGTCATGCCTATAGTAATTTTTTTTTTTTTTTTTTTTTCCCATATAGTTGGAGGTGCCTTAGTTACTGTATTAGCTCACCTGTAATCTTCGTTATATGTATGTTTGTGTTCTGTCTGAACCTCTGGCGCGGTGTTTGCTCACCCGTAAGTTACTTTATGTTTATGTTTATGTTTATGTTTATGTTTATGTTTTTGATGTTTTTTTATGTATGTTTGTGTTCTGTCTGAACCTCTAGCGCGGTGTTCACTCACCCGTAAGTTACTTTATGTTTATGTTAATGTTTTTTATGTTTTTTTTTATGTATGTTTGTGTTCTGTCTGAACCTCTGGCGCGGTGTTCGCTCACCCGTAAGTTACTTTATGTTTTTCATGTATGTTTGTGTTCTGTCTGAACCTCTGGCGCGGTGTTGACTCACCCGTAAGTTGATTTATGTTTGTTTGTGTTCTGTTTATACTCTAATGCAGCGTGAGCTCAGTAACTAACTACTTACTCCAACTACAAAACGTACACTCACCTTAGACTCCTGTATTTTGTTAGATGCAGTGTTTTTCCTTATACACTTCCAAAATGTCATGCCTGGTTTTCTCAAAGTACTGTTGCGGAAGTAGCTCCTTTTAACTACTCCAGGTCAGGTCAGGATAATCGAGATCAATCTTGCTACTGGTATCACGTAACCCAGTACCACCTGCCACAAGCCCTGCTGCCTTGCAGAGTGTGCTCTTTTTATGCAAAGGCTAGGAGAAATAAACTCCGACTAAAAATTCCCCTGCCTTGGGGCTCTTGGTTGAGTAAAGGCTAGAGATCGTGTCTCGATAAAAACACTCATCTTGGGCAGATGTTAACTGCATCCAGCTAAACATCCCCTGCCTTGGGGCTCTTGGTTGAGTAAAGGCTAGAGATGGTGTCTCGATAAAAATACTCATCTTGGGCAGATGTTAACTGCATCCTGCTACTGTCTTGTAGAAGGCCTCCTAGGCAAAGACTTTAGGGGTAAGCAGAAAAATTCTGCTAACCAGCCTCGAACCCCTTCTTCATCTATTAGGCTGGCGTAGATGTAACCTGTGTTACATTGTTTCCTGCCTAGGATGATGAATGCTGGATCTCCTTGACTCCACTCATAGAATTTTGCTTATGCCTCTATGATAATGGCTATGCAACTCTTCCTGTTATCTCCATATGAGAGTACAGCTCTAAAACTCAGTTTAATGGTTCTGAGGCCGGCTGGTAGTAAGGTTTCCCGAACTCTGTGGTAGCTCTCAGAGAGGCTGATTCCATCAACAGTTGCAAAATATCAGAGTATTAACAGTGTCATGTTGCGCATCGATGGTGCCCCTGTTAATGCTTTTGGTGTGCATTGTCAAGGCCACATAAGGAGTCCTATGTCACGGCTTAGGATTAATTAACAGGACTGAGACAACTGCATAGCTCATTGATTAGGAGGCTGTGCTCTATCTATGAATCAAGTTCTCAATAAACCCAAATCATGACCAAAGTAACCAAAAATTTAAAACCTAAAAAACCATCCCCACCACCTAAATATTTTAATATATCTTTTACAAATATTCGCGGTCTACGAAGCAACTTTCCATCAGTTGAGTCTTACCTCCTGCAAAATTCACTAGACTTGCTTGCACGCAGTGAAACAAATTTAAGTTCTGCAATTCCTTCTTCAGATGTCAGTGTTGATGGGTACTATCCTTTGATTCGTAAAGACTCCAATAGTCACATGCTAGGTTTAGGGGTATACATACGCATTAATTCCCCTATTTGTCGTGAAATCAGGTTCGAATCCTTTGACCATTCTTTTATGTGCTTTCGCCTAGCACCTCTTCACTCTATCACCTTTCTCTTCGTTCTTTATCGTTCTCCTTCTTCCCATGATTGCACTCTTTTAGGTATTATCTCTGATCAAATTGACCATGCCCTCTCTCTTTACCCCTCTGCCAATATTGTTGTTGTTGGTGATTTTAATGCCCATCACACTGAATGGCTTGGCTCTAACACCACTGCTCCTGCTGGCACTAAAGCCTTTAACTTCTGCGTTTCTCAATCTCTTACTCAGATAGTTAACTTTGTGACTCGTTTTCCAGACAACCCTAGTCATTTACCTTCACTCCTTGACTTATGTCTTGTCTCTGACCCTAGCTTATGTTCAGTTTCTCCCTTTTCTCCCTTAGGTGGTTCTGACCATGCAATGATCTCTATAAATCTTTCTTCTCGTACTTCTTTTTTGGGCTCACCTTATCATCGCACCACCTACTACTAACCTAAAGCTGACTGGGATTCTTTTCGTGATTTTCTTCGTGATGGTCCTTGGGCTGATGTTTTTTCTCTCTCAGCTGACAAATGCGCCTCCTACGTAACCTCCTGGATTCAGGCTGGAATGGAAGCTTTTATTCCTTCTCGTCGGTTTCAAGTCAAGCCTCATTCTACCCCATGGTTTTTTCCTTCTTGTGCGACTGCTATATCCAATCGTAACCATTTTTTTCATTTTTTCAAAAGAACAACTCTCTTGAGAACAAACGGCTATTTATTATTGCAAAAAATCGATGTAAAAAGGTGCTTTCTGATGCTAAACTCCATTATTCTCAGTTCACTAAATCTCGCATCTTATCGCAGAAGTTAGGCTCTAAAGACTTTTGGAAGCATTATTAACAAGGGTAGATCTAGCATTCCATCACTCATTCATGGGACTGATCTTATTACCTCTCCCAAGGATAAGGCAGAACTATTTGCAAAGAACTTTTCTTCTAATTCCACTCTTAAATCTTATGGACATTCTCTTCCTTCCATTCCAGTCAAACAGGTTGACCCATTGTTAGACATTCAAATCACTCCGGCTTCTGTTGCTAAAGTCATATCTCAATTAAACTTGTCTACAGCTTGTGGTCCAGACAACATTCCTGTCACAGTCTTGCAGAATTGTTCTCCAGAACTTTCTTCAATTCTCTCTAAACTATTTAACAAGTGTTTGAATGAGTCTTGTTTTCCTGCTTGTTGGAAAATGGCATCTGTGGTTCCAATATTCAAAAACTCTGGAGAAAATTCTGACCCCTCTAATTATCGTCCAATCAGTCTTCTTTCTGTTATTAGCAAGGTCTTAGAGTCTTTGATCAACAAATTCCTCACATCTCATCTTGAGTCAAATAAACTACTGTCAGACAATCAACACGGTTTTCGATCCTCTCGCTCTACGGCCTACTTGCTAACTGCTGTAACTGAAAGATTTTATCGTGCATTAGATGGAGGCGGTGAGGCTAGGGCTATTGCTCTCGACATATCTAAAGCTTTCGACAAAGTTTGGCATGCTGGTCTTCTCCATAAGCTTGCTTCTTATGGTGTTTCTGGGAAAGTTTTTGAGATAATCAAATCATTTCTTTCTAATCGGTTTATTAAAGTCATCCTTGAAGGCCAACACTCTTCTTTATTTCCAGTAACTTCTGGGGTTCCCCAAGGTTCCATCCTGGGCCCTGTTTTGTTTCTTATCTACATAAACGATCTTCCTGACAACCTTTCATCAAAAGTAGCTCTTTTTGCTGATGACTCAACTTTATACTCCTGTCTTGACAAAAAGTCTTCTCTTTTCGATCGCCTAGAACAAGCAGCTCATCTTGAATCTGATCTCACTTCAGTAATAGATTGGGGTTCACAGTGGCTTGTGAATTTCAACTCTAAAAAAACCCAATTGCTTACTGCAAACAACTACCGTAATATGGTCAACATTCCTATATTAATGAATGGCAATCCTCTTACTGAGTCATCCTCTTTACGTCTTCTTGGATTATCGCTTACTACTGACCTTTCATGGAAACCATATATACAATCGATTGCTAAATTGGCTTCTGCTAAGGTTGCTTCTCTTTATGGTGCTCGCCATTTTCTTACTTCTGATTCCATTCTCTACCTCTACAAATCTCTTATTCGTCCCTGTATGGAATACTGTTGTCATATTTGGGCTGGTTCTTCTAACGATTCACTCTCTCTTCTTGACAAGGTCCAAAAACGCATTGTAAATGTTGTTGGACCTGGACTATCTGCTAAGCTTGAACCTCTTTCCCATCGTCGTAAAGTTGCATTTCTTTCTCTTTTCTACAGATACTTTCATGGTCACTGCTCAAAGGAGTTATCATCTCTAGTTCCATCAACTAAAATTCATTCTCGTTTTACTCGTCATTCAGCTAAGTCTCATTCGTTTTCTGTATCTGTCCCTGCATGCTCTAAAAACTTTTATTCATCTAGTTTTTTTCCCCGCACTTCAATTCTTTGGAACTCTCTCCCATCTTCATGTTTTCCTGACTCATACAACCTTCAACTTTTTAAGTCTTCTGTCAACCGTTTCCTTGCTCTATAACTCTGTTCCTTTTTTTTCCTAGTAACTCCCAACTTAATAGTGGTTGCTTGCAGCCTTGTTGGGAGTGAATGCAAATAAAAAAAATTAAAAAAAAAAAAAAATTCAACGTTGATTTTTGTTTTTTATTTTGGTTAAATCCAATTAACTAAAAAATTATCTCAACTTTAATTGCAATAAAATAATACAATAAAAAAGCAATAATTTGCGCAGAGGATATTATATTTCACGTAAATTAATCAGATACAACTAAATTGCTTCAACGGACTTTATATACAATGCAAATAAAGTAAAATGTTTGAAAAAAAAAAGTTTTATTTATCAGTAATATATTTATCAATTTATCAATAATAACTATTATCAATAGTTCCAGAACAACTAGAAAAAAGTATGAATATTATACATCGGGTGAATCGCCTTTTACGCGCCAACCACCACCATTTGATCTGTCGAGCGCGTATTTTATTAAAGTCATTATTCCTTTTCTTATTTCGGCAACTGTAGCAGTCACTTTAATTGACAAAACGCTCTCTATGAAAAAGGTATTGCCTGAGTAATTTACATCAAATACATCAAAAAGTTAAAAAAATAAATTAGCATTAAAAAAACGAACTGTAATTTTTTAAAAATATATAATTTTACACTTAACTTACAAGTAAATACCTAATGTTTGTTCCTTTAAACTTCTCTTTACCTTTACCGCCAGCCATATTAAATTTTAATTATAAACCATTAACAAACTGCTGGTTAACAACCTGCATTATACATTGTTATTATTATTATAGTTACATTAAAAATTGATAAACATGTCTTTTACAAAATACAAATTATTCTCAATGAAAAACTGCACAAACGGCAAAGGTTTCTTACCAAACCGTAATGCAAGTAAGAAAAAGAATTGATACAGGGGAAGAGTTTGGTCCAAGGAGACCACCTTCTAAACGCAAGAAAACACCAAGAGCGGACAGTATAATCAGAAATATCTGCCTGGAAAAGAGAAAAAAAGCCACTAAGCTTATCCATGAAGCTGTAATTGTTGTGTCAGACCAGACCATTTGTAGAAGGCTAAAAGAAGAGGGATTGATGTCCAGCCGAAAATGTCAAAAATTGACAAAAAAATTTAAAAATAATGTCAAAAATCTTATATTTATGCAAGATGGTGCAACTTGCCACACAATAAAAACTGTTATGGCTTAGTTGATGTATTGCTATAGCCAGACAACTCGCATGATCTTAACCCCATAGAAAATATTTGGGAAATAGTAAAGCAAGAGATTGGAAAAAAAAAATCTTACTAATAAGCAAGATCTTATAGAAGAGATTATCAAGATCTAGCATAATAACCCAGAGTTGATACTATAAAAAATAAATTGCAAGCATGCCACAATGCAATGAAGCAGTTATTGCAAATAAAAGTGTTTTTGCAAAATATTTATACTTTATATATACAGTCGTGTGACAATTTATTATGGCCACCTATGAGTTTTGATCATTTTGAAATTTAATCTCATTTTTTTCATATGAAGAGTAAAAATTCATTATTGAAAGTTAATCTTCTGTTTAAAATAAAGTTTTAACTTATAAAATCGATGCTTTTTTTTTTGCTACTGGCAACACTGTCACTTTTGACAGCCATTTTGTATGATGTCATCTTAATTATAATCTTTTTGCTGTACACTTGTTAAGTTTTATTACCAGAGTTTTGAATTCTTTTATTAGGTTATCGCCATATTACTTATTTAAATCAGTAAAAATTTCTTGAATATTTCTTTTTATTTTAAATTAAAAATAGTTGTATTTAGTTTGATATTTTTAAAGTTATGAGTACCAAAGCAAATTCTTAACTGTAGTACTGATATGTGATATCTTATTTTAGTTATGAGGGAAAAAAAAAACTTGTCACAAAAAATTGCTGAAATCAGGGCACTTTTAATAAATACTGATCATTCTCAATGAAAAATAGCCAGAAAATATGGTATTTCGCGGGTATCTGTACAAAATATACACACAAAAATGCTAATATGGAGAACTTGATGCCAAAGAGGGTTGGTAAATGTGGAAAGAAGAGAATCCTAACACCATGCAGGAAATGAATACTTACCAAGATTGTTCTAGAAAATAGACGGGCCATCAACAACGAAATAACTAATAAGCTGGGCCAATCTGGAGTCAAAATGTTGAAGAGAACGGTCCAACATTGCCTACACAATCTTAGTTACATTTCACAACGTCCAGCTAAGAAGCCTAAACTGACACCAAAAATTGTACAAAAAAAGCTTGAGTGGACAAAAAAGTATAGGAATTTAACATATGATTGGTAATTAGTAAAATTAATTTAGATGAATTTAAAATATCCACTTTCTTACACCAAACTTTAAATATTCATTCAATATTCACTTAACAATCCTTGTATAATATTTTAAGGTATGCTTTAACGGCGAGAGTACTTTTAAGTTTTAAAAAGAAAAAAGGGAAAAAATACTTATTGGACTGCATCATGCAAACTGTTAAACACCCCACCTCTGTGATGATCTGATCAATGAAATGTGTAAAGGAAATAGGAAGGTTCTATATTGCAGAATGAAAAATGTTACAGTTACAATATAAAAATGCTGGAACAAAGATTGTTGTCACAATTGGCAGAATAGTTTAGTCCAGGTGAAAAAAAAGCCTTCATGCAGGACAGGGCATGACCATGTTGCACAGCTAAATCAGTTAAAAAATATCTATCACAACAAAATATTCCATTACGTGATTGGCCAGGAAACTCTTCTGACCTAAATCCTATAGAAAATGTTTGGGCGCTCCTAAAGAAGCAAATATCTGAAAAAATTATTACAAATAAAGTGTATTTAATAGAAAGAATTATTCAACATTGAAACTATAATAAAGAATTGAAGGAAATGGCTCAAAAATGCATTAAAAGTATGCCAAAAAGGGTTCCTGCAATTATAGAGGCAAAGGAGGAATCACCAAATATTGATCTTGAATATATTTGCAGTAATATTTGAATAATAAAATTTATTTAATTTGAATAATAAAATTTATTTAATAATATTTTAATAATAAAATAATAAACAATATGTTAAATGTTTTTATTTGTCAAAAAAAATACCCATTTCTTAAATAAAAGTTACTTTGAGTACATAAATCACATAAAAATACTAAAATAATAGACTTTGAAACTTGATAATTTTGAAAAATTGTGGGTGGCCATAATAAATTGTCACACGACTGTATTTATATAATTTATCATAATAATCAATAAATATTCAAAATGTTCATCTTTATTTATTTGTTTTTATCAAGTACAACTTTATAAATAAAAGAAAAAACTTTAAATTGCACTATTAATATTATATATATATATATATATATATATATATATATATATATATATATATATATATATATATATATATATATATATATATATATATATATATATATATATATATAAATATATATATATACATATATATATATATATATATATGCATATATATATATATATATATATATATAATATTATATATATTGTATATAATATTATATATATATATATATATATATACACATATATATATATATATATATATATATATATATATATATATATATATATATATATATATATATATATATATAATATATTCATATAAGCACATGTATGTATATACACATACATATATATGTATGTTTATTTATGTACATATATATGTATGTATATATAGAGTAAAAAAAAAGGTTAAGTATGCATTTCAAATCAACCTTTGTACTTTAAGGTTGTTCTTTAGCTCAAGGAAATACAAAAGTAAGAGAAAACAGTTACAAAAAAAATTATAATCAGACATAAAAAAAAAAGATTCATTTTATGTCTGATTAGAATTCGTCAAACTTTTAAAAATATATGCTACACAGATTTTAACACAAGTTTAAAACAAACTATAAAAAAGATTCAAAAGATTTTTTATTTAAAACTACTTTTAACAAACCTTTGCATCACATGTATTTGTATTTGTCTTAATGGTTTTACCTCCAATTTTAGAAAGTTTGTTAACCTAAAGGTTTAAGAAAATAATTACACCACATTATTTTCATAGTACATTTATAAAAAGTTACAAGCAGATTAACTTAGGCTAAGTTATTAATAAATACTTAATCAAAAAACAATAAAAAAAAAAACTGCGAAAAGTCATGGTTTGAAACAACCTATCACTTCTGACCTCACCCAAGAATCATTTAAACTGTTATCATAATCATTAAATTACTGCTGAAAGTTCATCCATAGAACTTCAGAACTATTTGTCATGATATTACTTTAATTACTGGAAAGAGTTTTTACTAACATCTCTTTCTAACAATAGAGATATATCAGAAAGACAAAAGAACCAAACATTAATTAATTTCTAAAAGTGTTGAAACACAAGAACAAAAAATTTATAAAATAAAACATTATTCATAAATTAAATAAAATGTACTAATTTAGCAACCAAAGAAATGTGTAAATCACTGAAGCATAGAAAAAAATGTTCAGAATCTTTTCTTCCTAAATCAACTTGCAGACAGACAATTAATACCTTGAGCTACAGTATGTGGAGTATGCATAAAAAATGTTTTTTGTTTCTTTTTTTGTGTTACAGGAGTAGGTACTTACTTACTATTCTGTTGGTTATTATGTTTTCTCTTGCATAAGCATGGTAGTGGCTCCTATAATAATTAATATCAAAATATAAATAATAATACTTGAATTAAGTATCTTTTAAAATAGTTACCATTTTCTGAATCTGATTCTATCTGAGTATCACTAGTAGTGGCAAATTTAAATTTATCACAACTCATGATCTAAGAATATTCATTCAATTTAAAAATGTTTTAAATACATTATATAATAAAGAATATATAATAAAGAATATATCTAAACACTGAAAACAACATATACAGAATGAAAGCATGTTAAAAAAACAAGGAAAAAAAGTAATGACTTAAGGTTTATATAAAAAAAAAATTACATTATCTCCATGACATTAAATTTTGAGCAGCGTAAATCTGTATTAGTTAGATGCGGTTTATGCATTTCATTGAAACAATTTATTACATTTAAAGATGACGAGCAGCACAAAAAATTATCAATCGAATTTTTATTTCTTTATTTCTCTGTATTTTCTATCCAAACAGCTCGAATGAACATTTTGCATGCCCTACTATACTTTTTCAACTGGAAAAGTATAGCAGAAATTATAATAGAAAAAATACTTATATATTAAAAATTTGTTCATGTAAAATAGCTAACAGAAAAATACAACTTTAAACTGTACGTTATGATACATTATACAGTTGCTAAAATTTGCTAAATTTTTATGTTGAACTTTCTACCAATATTATGGACTAAAGAAGCATTCACAAATTCTTTTTTATACAACTTTACAAGAAAAATCTTTAAAAATTTAATAAAAATTTTTTAATATATAAAATATTTAAACTCTTTAAATCACATGGATTGGTAAAAAAGCTTGATAAATCATTATTTTGTAAAACATCATCGATTATATATATTTATATTATGTATGTATATATACATATATAGTGTATGTATATATTATATATGCATATTATATATATATATATATATATATATATATATATATATATATATATATATATATTATATATATATATACATATATATATAGTATGCATATATAATATATACATACACTATACATGAATATATACATATATAATATAAGTATATATACTATATATATATATATATATATATATATATATATATATATATATATATATATATATATATATATATATATATATATATATATATATATATATATATATATATATATATGTA